CATCGAGATCCGAAATGGGCCTAGATCACATGAGTCCTTTCAGGAAATGGACCTCAATGATGACTGGAAACTTTCCAAAGCAGAGGTTTGTCGAAACAGTTGCTTGTTTACAACTGTGCATCAGAAAGCAGCTGTCCATCAAGCATGAGATTTATGATACGCTCTTAAAATAAAGGTTCCTAAAGGGGGTTTTGTATACAATGCAGTAGAATAACCATTTTTGGTTCCCCAAAAAACCTTTCATGGAATAGTTCTTAAAAGAACCATTTTTTTTCTTTTTCTAAAGAATATTTTAATCTAAAGAACCTTTTTTTTCACCGTAAAACAGAACTTTTTGTACAATTGAAAGGTTACATGAATGTTAAATGTTCTTAATGAAACCATGAATGCCAATAATACATTTCAGGGAGTTATTTGTGTTATTCTAAACACCTTTCTGTTTTAGGTCAAAGAATACCTGCGTAAAGAGTTTGAACGGCATGGATATGCTGCGAATGACACCCATCATGAAGTGATGGTTGAGGACATCTTCCAAAAAGAAGATGAAGATAATGATGGATTTATATCTGCTCGGGAGTTCACCTACAAACATGATGAACTATAAATACTTCACACTCCTGCATAACAGCATCAATGTTTACCTTCAGAGAGATTCCAGTATTTTTCTCTTTGAGATTTACAGCTTGTCTGTATCATTTCATGTCATGTTTCAGTAGTTCTAAACAGATTTTCTGTTATCTAAATATCATGTCTGTAATTTTTTTTAGGGTAAATACACTCAGGTGGTGGTATGATTGAGCTTTTATAGTATTTGAAGACTGTAATTCGTCTTCAATTGCAAAGTGTTAAATTCTGCTCAAAGAGAGTGCTTGTTGGCTGAAACATTGAATATGTCAGAGCTGATTTTTTTATAGTATGTGTGTGTCACTTTTTCAGATGAATTTTGCAATAATGTTTACAATATTTAGAACATGATTAGGTCAATTTGTCTGGAGTAACCTATAAGTATTTTCTTGTGATGTGAATAAAGTATATCAGTTTTGTGCTGCTCATCACTATTGACGTTGTAGTTTTATACACCATCACTAGAGGGAGCTCTTCTCTTAGCCTGTTCCATGACACAAAAGAACTGATTATCTCAAATGTCTTGCATACAGTACTCTTAGAAAATGTAATGTTTAATAATAGGCAAAACTATTGAAAACGATGAGACGCTCAGTTAAAATGTAGTCAAGTGGCCTTTTGTTGACAGATGGCACAGTCATCATCACACACCTACATAATGCAGATGACTAGTGTGTGGTGTACATAATAATTTTCATACAACAGCATATACTCAGTCACGCTTAACAGCATTCCATTCATAGTATGGCATTACACAGTTGTTGTAAAATTTGCGCAAGTTTACAGTTCCATTTTAGTTTGCTCCGGTTAATCTGCCCAGTCTCAAATCATTTTGGATAAAACCTCGAAACCAATAACTTCTCAATGGTGCAACATTCAGTAGGTAATGTAAATCCAACCAAACGGTCCCCCAAACAGAACTGAAAAGGTAATCATACCTGCAAACTAGTCGCTTTTCGGCGAAATTCGCCGTTTTGAATCAAAATATGTCATGTATGTGAATCGTCTAGATCCGAAGAGGATTTCTCTCCTTTTTTTTTTTTCATAAAGACAGCAGTCACTTGCCTCGTTTTTGAATGAATCAGCCATTTGAATGAATGACTAATGACTCGCTCTTTAAAACAGTAATTTACCGCCATCTACTGGTGGTTTGGTTTCATATTTAAAAGTATTGCATTTTCCCCAACATTTTTAACTTGCATGTTCAAAAATATTTAAAACATTAATCTTATAAAATTATTTATGCATTTGAAATTTTGTGGTGTAAATGCATTTATGGCACCTCAGCTTCATCAAACAGTCTGTGTAAATAGCCTACATCTAATGCCACTTCAGATGCAGCTTCTGTTTCCTCAGCAGTGGAAAGATTGAGTTTGTTGATAGTATGCGCACGCTAATGTGAACATTAAAATTTGCGAAAATAAATTACTCCGCTGCTCACAAAGAGAAGTACGAACACCGATGACAACAGAGTTGCACTGTACAAAAAGTTTGTGGTATAAATGTGCTTTTTTTTTTTACTTGAAGCATGTTGTCTTTTTCCTTTATTTTGTTGTCATTGTGCACCAGAACGCATCATTTACATGTTAAATTCTCAAAAAAAAATTATTCTGGGGGAGGATACGATGGTCATCTTCCAAACTCACCTTTTTGACCTCTTGTGAGTTTGCAGCAGGGGTAATACTTTACATCATATCTTGAATATCCTTCATCTAAAAACGTTTCCTTTAAAAATCCCCGTTTTAAATGACAAATAAGAGAGTTTTCTGGAAAAAAGCAAACAGCCAAACTATAAATAGCTACTTGCGCCGACAGAGCAAATGTCTTTCTTTTAGGCAAATAACTGAAAAATTCATATGAAGCGTTCAGCGTCTCTTAGATCCTTCAGCAGAGACAAATCCCAGGTTACTGCAGAATGTAACAGGTGTCATTACAGTCAGCCACTGAAACTGAAGTCAATGGCTCCACCGAATGATGGTTTTCTTCATAACATCATCTCTACACTGCAAGCGAACGACGCACCCAGACAAAATTAGAACAACGCCCTCTTGACAGATGGACTTCTCAAGATTCCATCCTCAATTCCAGAAGACGCATCGCGCGCTTGCAGTGTAAACAGCTTCATTTATTATAAACACCGTAAACTGGCTAGCTACTTTGCTGCAGCAATGTTTTTGTCATAAAAGTTGTTCTCGGGCATGGTGACCCGCACTCTTCGTTTCTCCTTAAAACGGCCAGACCGTGAAACTGTCCAATTCCTCCGGCACGTGTATTCATTGAAGGAAGGCTCCAGCTGAGAGTCGTCGTACGTCTCGTCGCTGATCAGATTGCCGTTCTTGTTGTCGCCGCCGGTTGGTTTCACCGACGTCGCATTTCCAAATTCCTGCTGGCCTTCTTTAAAATGGTTCTTGTTTTTTCCAGTTAAGTTTTTCCACCAGGAGTATCTGTCTGCCATTCTGTCTAATTATTCAGTTCACACTGCAATGAATATATTAACGTTTATAAAATGATATGCGAACATTGTTATTTTTATACATACAATAATAGGCCTATATATTTTAATTACTATGTTATCCATCCATCCATCCATCCATCTATCTATCCTCTAGTCAGTTTAACTCATCATACTTTAAATGTTGACATTTTAAAGCAAAACTATCTATCTAATCTCTAGTCAGTTTTAACTCATACTTTAAATGTTGACATTTTAAAGCGAAACTATCTATCTATCCGTCAGAAATACTCACCTCAGCTTCAGGTGTGTTATTGTCAGCCAGAGACTGACAGTCGAGTCTTTCGTTTCTTTTAAGCAAACATCCAGCAGAACAACATTGTGGCTTTTCTGTCTATATCTTTACAACATCACACAGTGCTGCATCTCTCTGTCTAAACTATAATGAGTGATGAATTCATTCATTTATAGTTCACCTGTTGCTCATTGCCCTCCTTCCTCTCTCTCATTGGTCTGTTGAGCTGCTGCAACTGCCCTCAGAAAGCTGGTTTCAGGTTCTCGCTTCACCTGTGATTTGGTGAAAAAGTCACTTTGGGGCATATACCGTCTCAGCTGTCTGATACTAAAACAATGCTGCCATTCACACCCCTGAATTTGGAACAAGAAAACCAAGCTTAGAGAAAACCAACGCCTAAAGAGAGCTGACCAAGCACTAATTACAGCAACATATTTCACATGCTGCAAGTGTGAGGTGTTGCAGCTTTAAGTAATAATACACAAACTTTCAGAAGTTCATTTTGACTGTCAAAATTATTTAAAGTAACCAGATTTACATAATTTAATAAATCAGCATTTGATAAATTACAATCATAATTACAATCATTCACAGAAATATCTTTAAAAAACTGTAAAAAGGTCTTTTATCAAATAAACAATTTGAAGGAACTCAAACCAAGGTAATGGTACCATATGTGGACTTTTTTTTCAAGGTGAATAACTGATCTATTCTCACGAGTCCAATTAATACAATACACATAATTTTGTTTAGCGAAATCATTGAAATGGGAACAAGTCCAAGGAGGAAGGAACAAGCACTAAATAAAAGCTCACATAACCATTTTGTCCATTCACAGGATGATAACGTAGATCACTTAATTGTTGTCAAGGCTAACAAAATATAATTTGAAGGAGGCATGGGTTAAACACAGCATTATTAACACCGGGTGAACAAAATATTAACTATTTACACTCCATGTAAAATTAAAAAGTGCTTTACACATGATCTTAACTGTCTTGCCTTTATAGCACACATACATTTACCAACCTCATGACCCAAAAATATATATATATATATCTTTTTTTTTATCATACTTGACAATATGTCAGTTTCGCAATGCTAATTGACCATAGTTTCATACTGTATAAAAAGGTACTGTAATTTGATTTAAAGGAATCCACCCCCCCAAAAAAGCTAAATATTTAATCACCCTCAAGCCATTCAAGATGTAGATGAGTTTGTTTCTTCATCAGAACAGATTTGGAGAAATGTAGCATTACATCACTTGCTCACCAGTGGATCCTTTGCAGTGAATGGGTGCCGTCAGAATGAGAGTCCAAAAAGCTGATAAAAACATTGCAATAATCCACACAACTCCAGTTCATCAATTATCATAATCAGTTAACATCTTGTTAAGAGCTTTTTTCTTCACAAGATGTTAATTGTTGGACTGGAGTCATGTGGATTACTTGTGGATTATTGTGATGTCTTTATCAGCTGTTTGAACTCTGAATCTGACGGCACCCATTCACTGCAGAGGGTCCATTGGTCAGCAGGTGATGTAACGCTAAATTTCTCCAAATCGGTTCTGATGGGGAAACAAACTCATCTATATCCAAAGTGTCTGGAAATTTTCATTTTGGGTGAACTACTCCTTTAAACAAAATGCCCATCAATAATAATTAATTCTGTTTTCAGCAGGAATGTTCATTTACTCCATGTTTATCAGTATTTGTTTGGGGAATTGAAACACATTGAGTGAAATGTGCATATAAGTCCAAATTTCGTACACAAAAGAGAAAACATAATATCTTTGAAATGTGTGGCAGGCTGCTTTTTAAAATGTACACGCTCTTTCAGCTGTTTAAAACAAGATGTCCTCATGCTCTATCAGGAGCTGAACTATCAGTTTCTGGTATCTCATGTCGTTGAGAGTGGTGAGTGTGTTCAGGTCCGGGGGCCGCATGAGTGTTGGGCCAAAAACGATTCCTAGGTTCTCCGAGTTCATGTAATTGTCCTTCTCGTACATGGTGACCCTGATAAATAGAGAAAAGATGTGGAAAAATCACCTCAGACAATACAATTTTGATAATAAACATGCAGGTAGGTAACTGATATACTTTCCATGGATGGGGAAATGTGGCAAAGCTGGCTTGGCAAGTTTGAGGTAAAGCACAAATCCCTCAGGATCATTGTGTAGGTTTTTTAGTTCCTGAAGTGCACTGAGCTAAAGTGCCGTATTGTGTTTCCAGTCTTATACGTTTTATATTGCAGGGTGACAGGAAGTAAAATCACTCTTTAAAGCCGCAGAGAGAATGCTTAAATGGAACAAAAACCTTGTAATGAACTATGGCACTGGCACCTAAGGAAGCAGTAAATGTGTGTGGAAATTCAATACCTCTTCAGGTGCGTCATCAGGTACCGCAGGGTCTCATAGTGGGCTGGAGGAAGTTGGAGGAGACCATCGTGAACTGCCTCCAGTCTAGAATCAGGGTCTGTTATTTCTGACAACAGAAAGTGTAAAAAAATGTTTTGCAAAATACTGCAGAATTGTGCAAAGTCAGTTTTTCTGCTAAAACTCGCCACTATTTGAGCACGTACAGTCCAAAATCTGAGAGCACTAATGAAAATGATTTATTTTTGTATTATTATACTTTTTCATTTACAAGTTACACTACTATTCAAAGGTTTGGGGATTTAAAAAGATTTTTTTTAAATGTTTGCTCTTATGCTCACCATGGCTGCATTTATTTGATCAAATGTACAGTATAAAAAAGTAATGTTGTGAATTTTTATTACAATTTAAAATAACCATTTTCTGTTTTAATATATTTTAAAATGTTTTTATTTTCCTTTGATGGCAAAGCTGAATTTTTAGCAGCCGTTTCTCCAGTCTTCAGTGTCACATGATCCTTCAAAATTCATTCTAACGCTCAAGAAATGTCCTATTATTTTCACTGTTGAAAACGATTGGGCTGCTTAATATTTTTGTGGAAACTATAAGGGTTTTTTTCAGGATTCTTTGATGAATAGAAAGTTCCAAACAGCATTTATTTCAAATATAATTCTTTTGTAACATTATAAATGTTTTCGTCACTTTTGATCAATGAAATCATCCTGTCCCCAAACTTCTGAATGTCATTGTCAAAATTATTAAAGTTATTAAAATTATTTAAGTGTTGTACCAGAATCAAAGTTACGAAGCTACGAGAATACTTTTTTTCGCAAAGAAAACAAAAATAACGACTTTATTCCACATTTTCGTCTCTACTGCTTCACTTGTGGACGCGCGTTCACGACAGTATCAGAGAGCCCTCAGATTTCATCAAAAATATCTTAAATTGTGTTCCGAAGATGAACGAAGGTCTTACGGGTTTCGAACAACACGAGGGTGAGTAATTAATGACAGAATTTTCATTTTTGGGTGAACTAACCCTTTAATGACAAGATCAAAGTAGTTAAAAAAATAATGATCATCAAAACAGAATACAAGAGAAAGTTTCTAGTTAATTATAACACATATAATTGATATATAGTTATAGTCTCTTACTGGCAGATTGAATAAATTTGGAGTAGACGTCATATGTGATAACTGGAATGGGCAGATCTCGCAAATAAAGCTTCAGAGCTCCGGCAATTATATTGATGTCTGAGTAGATATTGGCACTGATGTCTGCCTTCTCACCATCTGCAAAGGAGAATTAGTTATCTGTTATGAGTAAGGTTAATCACTATACCGTATCAACAATACATTGTTTTGAATGGAAAAGCATGGGTTTTTCCATCCAGGCTGCATGTTGATAAAATAACAGTGATTTCAAGGACTGTGAGTTCATTCAAGCATGTAAGCGAATGTGAAGAGACCAAATGTTAGTTGAACACCTATCATACACCTGATTATATCAGGTTTGAGGCACAAACAGTTATTCTAAACCTCTACAAACCTCTGTCGAAGGCCAGTCGGACATCTTCTATGTGTTCTGTGAAGCCTGACACTCTGTACAGACCCTCTGATTTCAAACCTGGAAGAAGCCGAAGTAACACATATTTACTTCAACTATCCAGTCAGTGCACTTGGAGGTAAAAGTGTAAATTAGTATTGATCAAACTGGGACTGCAGCTAACAACTAATCAGATAATCAATTAATGTTTTGATTATCCTTTTGATAAATTGGATATGCTGTGTCTTGCCCAGTTCATCTATCATCCACTCACACATCTGTGTATAGGAACTTCATCCCTGATTCTCCATGATGGAAAATTTTATTATGTGGAACTGTTATACAGTCCTGTTATACTGTTATAAAAAATACATTTTTCCTCCTTTTGCCATTTTTACAGGATAAAAATGACGACCCCAAAACATAAGGATCTCCTTATGATCTTTCATCTTCATAAAATACAAAATCAGCTATATAATTTCATGCATAAAGACATTTTATACCATGTAAAAATTTTATACTGTCATTATACTTAAGCCAAAACAAATAATTAAAATACTATCTAAACATATGAATTCAACATATTATTATTTGTGCATATTGGCATTTGTGAAATGTCTTCACACTTCTAGTCACAGAAAAATACATATTACAATACAAATACATATTTAAAAAGCTTATTTATTCAGCTTTCATATGATGTATAAATCTCAATTTTGGAAAATTGACCTCTATGACTAGTTTTGTGGTCCAGGGTCACATATTATATTTCTCTCTATAGTAAGAAACTGATTAAAACAAAAAGTTAATTTTATTTGACTAGTTTTTCTCTCAAATATAGCAAGCAGAATGTCGGTTGGCTAATATATAACTAATTTCTCAAAGAATGCTCTCTTTAATGGAAGGCGTTACCCAATAAGTCAAAATGTGGAGAATGTTTGCTTCCTCTCCCTGTTGTTTTAGGTTAGGTATTCTTCTTTTTGCACATCTTGATATATGACAAGGAGACGCCAGAGAATAGGGCAGCTGTGAGACACCTACAGTCAGTGATTAAGTGCCTTACTGAAGGCCACAGGTGCTAGAGAAGATCTGGGATCTCCATATTAAAATGTTCTAGCACTGCATTTTAGAAACGATCAGTACCTCTGTGCTCGATCTCTTTGATACACATGTCCAGAACCATCGGCCGTGGCGTGTTGTGGGCTTTGACCAGCGTGGTGAGATCACAGCTGAAGACCTTCTTGATCCTGCGGAGGTCCGGCTGACAGTCACTGGGCACGAGTTTGGAGCACTGTTTGTGCACGTTCAGCCCACAGTCTGCAAGAGTAACAGGTCAAAAGGTTAGAGGAGAGTGACCCTGTTGTCTCCAAAGAGGCAAAAAGACAGACTCCAAGGGAATGGAGACCCAAAGTGTGTGTGTGTGTGTGTCTAGGGGTCTTATGGAGGGTATATCTTCAGGGTAAAGTATACGTGGAGAAACAGGTGCATAGCAGACAAACTGGGTGGTAAAGTGTGACAATATCAGTCACATTCATTTTGACGTGTGTTTGTGGCTCTGTCATTCTGAGAGCATAACCTTGATAGACTTCTGGGTGTGTTTGCCAGCGAGCCTACATACAGTACATACACGTATGTGCATGCAGGTGTATATCAAGGGCCTCTTGTCATGTGCGTGATGGACACCTGCTTAATTGAAAAACAATTCTTCTGCTCTTGCGCCTATTCAGTCTAGCCTGAATTTTGTGTCCAACTGTTTTACACATATTTTGTTAATTTGAATCAGGAATCTGTAAGTTTGCAATCTGCAAGAAATTTTAAGTTTGTTTATTTGCTTTTCAGCAACACAATGAAGTTGAATTGGTTAGCAGTACTTAAAGGGATAGTTCACCCAAAATTAATTACTCACCCTCATGTCATTCCAAACCCGTAAGACGTTCGGTAAGATATTTTTGATGAAATCCAAGAGCTTTCTGACCCTACATAGACAGCAACAGAACTGACACGTTCCAGACCCAGAAAGGTAGTAAGGACATCTTTAAAAGAAGAAGAAATTATTGAATAAAGTCATTATTTTTGTTTCCTTTGCACACAAAAAGTATTCCCGTAGCTTCATAACATTATGGTTGAACCACTGATGTCACATGGACTATTTTAACAATGTCCTTATTACCTTTCTGGGCCTTGAACTTGGTAGTTGCGTTGCTGTCTATGCAGGGTCAGAAAGCTCTCGGATTTCATCAAAAATATCTTAATTTGTGTTCCGAAGATGAACGTAGGTCTTACGGGTTTGAAATGACATGAGGGTGAGTAATTAATAACAGAATTTTCATTTTTGGTTGAACTATACCCTTAATGAATAGGTGTCATGAACTAACAGTCCACAACTATATAATGAGTATATGTTTTGTGGCTGTACCATTGAAACTGAGTATTTTACCATTTATGGACTGGCCTCATCCATTTGCATTGGGTTATTATAGTTAACTAAAACTAAAACATTTAGTTTTAAAACATTTTCATCACTCAAAATAAAATAAACATTAACTAAAATAGAATGATAAAAAGTATAACAGAAATAATAAAACTTAAACATTTGATTTACCGAATTATGAAAACATATTAAGCTTATTTTTATTCCCAGCTGCCAAGAAATATTTCTTGTTTTCATTTAGTTTAACTTGATGTACTAAAATGACTAAAACTAAAACGGAAATAAAAATATTAAAAACAATACAACAATTATAAAAAATACCAAACAAACACACAACAAAATTTTATCTAAAATGTTAACTAAATTAAAACTGAAAACAGAAAATCTAAACATAAAATCTAATTCAAAATATTAATAAAAACTGTAATAGCACCTCAATGATACTAAAATAACACTGACTATGTCGCTTTGGGAGTTTGAGGCTTTTGAGTTCCCTTGATTAAAACTGACAAAAACAGCCGAAACGTTCAAGTTTGGAATAACATGAGGGTTAGTAAATTATGACAGAATATTCATTTTTGGGTGAACTTAAAGCTATAAATGTAATATTTATTACTCCTTATTCATAGTATATCAAAGTATATTTATTACTATTTGTTCATTGTATATAAACTCATATTAATTTATACTCAATCTAACTTAAAATATAAAAAATGTACTAGCCCAAGTACAAACAATGTTGTAAAAGTATTGTTCATTGTTGTTTCATGTCAGCCACTGCATGAACAAATTATTACACACAAAACCGTACTGTAAAATGTGACCTTTTTCCATATTACAGGTGTTTGCTTATACTCAGAGCTTGATATTTGGGAAAAAAAAGAATTAAACGTCAGCATGTAATGTACCCCACACAAATTGTTATACAGACATGAATGATACTTGAAATTATGTGGCATAAGGACAGGTGTTGAACCAGAATATTATATGAATAGAATATTTAGGGACCATTACGAGTTTTCTTTTTTTACTTTAGAGAGTAAGCAACCACCTAGCAACCATCCAGAACAGCCTAGCAACCACATAGCAACGCTCTGGGAACCACGCAAAACACCCTAGTGTCCGTGGCGATGTTTGCATTTCACGCAGCCCTCACATTTTCTTCAGAAAATGTAAAAATCTACTTAAAATTGCATTTGACACAGTTTTGCTACAATTAATGAGTGCAAAACTCTCCCTTTGACTCCACAATTAGAACTTGTGGAAAAAATGAACAGGTTTTTATGTTGTTTAAGTTGTAAGAATCCTGGTTTGATAACCTGCTTTGACACTGGGACTGTGAGTGTGTGTAGGGGAATGTGGTAGTAGGGTGGTCTGTCTCTCTGCGTGTCTCCAGTAGCATGCACATGCTGTCCCACTGCTCCTCATCTTCAGCAATGCCATTAATCACACTCTGTCAGTTTTACTGCCTGCCTGAACCCCTCCTTCACATCTTTAGGCCACCGAGAAAAAAAACAGAAGACGACAAAAAGAAAAACGCTCTGTGTTCCTCCGTATGGGCCTAGGGACACATTCAACTCTGCTCTAATTCTCAATGTGTCTGATGACACTGACTCGCCCGGGGGCCAGAGTGAAAGAAGAGAGGCTCCTGTGTGAAAAGAAAAGGCTTGAATAATGGCCCGAATGGATGAGACCATTTACAGTGTGAAAAACCAACAGTAAAAAGCCTTGTGACTGGATTGAGTTTATGTACAGAGTGTTTTGGGAAAGTGATGTCAAACAATAACCAGCTCCATGTTAACATGAGATCTGAGCAAACCTGTAATCATGGCATTAAGGTGCATTTGTTTATCTAGGTCACATCTAGGACCATCCTGTATCAAAAATGGTCAACTAGGATTTATTGGTTGTTATTTTTACATTTAATTTCAATTTGTCTTTTGCCTCACAAAATAATGAAAAGCAAAACAGAGCAACGCAAAGGTAAGCAAAGCAAAGCAAAACAAAACAAAAACAAAACAAAAACACAACATGTATATCACAAAACAAAAAACTAGTGCTGTCAAACAATTAATTGCGATTAATCACATCCAAAATTTAAGTTTTTTTTACATTATATATGTATGTGTACTGTGTATATTTATTATGTATATATAAATACACACATACAGTATATACAGTATTTTGAAAATATTTACATGTTTATACATTTATATATTCATATTCTTATATTTTATATTATATATATATATATTTAATATATAAACAACATATTTTTCTTAAATATATACATGCATGTGTTTGTATTTATATATACATAATAAACAAACACAGTATACACACATATATTATGTAAACAAAAACTTTTATTTTTGATGCGATTAATGACCAAACATGACTGAACAATATAAAAAAAATAACAATAGTTTACTTATAAAGTAACCTAGATTCACCTGGATTAAAATGAATTCCTACAAAAATTGTTAGTTCGTGATGCATAATTTATTAATTTGAAAGAATTTAAGTTTATTGTAAAGCTATTGTATAAATCATATGCATCACTTGTACATAACCAATAAAGTGTCATACTTTGTCATACAGTACAGGTGTGTGTGCATATATGCATCTGTTTATGTATGTTTATCTGTGTGATTTGAAGTGTAGCCTGATGCATTTGGCATTAACACAAGGAGACTGTCCTGGTTTACCTGGGTGTGCCTCTCTGAAAGTACTCTATAATGTACACAGTATGTTCCACTATAAATAGTCAACACTCAACAGAAGGCACTCAACTGGTTTGGACCAGGTGTCATTTAGGAATGCAAAATACCCACACATCAGCATACTAGTTAAAACCCTTATTGTCACAGGTATTCACTTTCACTCATTTAGCCTCAGGTTGCCACCGCATGTTGGAAAAGGTCTACAGCCAATTAGGCATTGTTACCAGAATGGCATGAGAAATTATCTGGATCCTAAGCGGCCTTTGGATTGTAATTTGATATGAATAATGCTCCTTGGCTGGTGCCATAATTCTGATGGACATTTTATTTCTGTGGGAGGGTTTGTGATTGGTGGAGGGTTACCTGAGCAACAGACGCCCTGGGCGATAAGACCCCACATGAAGTTTGCACAGTATTCACACCAGTGCGGCCCTCTGAAGGTGTGCACCTACACCAAAGGCAAAGCAGTCATTGTGAGTCAAGCACACATTGAAAACACACATACATGCATATTAGGCCAGTGAATCATTCATCTCTAGATTTTCATTTCCAGCTAAAGCTCATAATGAAAGTTCCACAGAAAATGAATGATTATATTTCCGGAGTATCTCTTACTGTACCTGACAACTAAGAGAACGTGTCTCACTGAGACTGGACAAACATAAAAAGAAAAGCATTGAACTACGCATTCATAGTTCTATGATGTATAATAAACTATGGAAGCCCGTTTCCGCCACTGAATAAAAAAAGGTAATTACGACTTTTTTCTCACAATTGCGAGTTTACAATTCTTTTTTTTTTGTCAGAATTGCGTGATACAAACTTGCAATTCTGATTTTTCTCAGAATTGTGAGATATAAACTTGCAATTGCGAGAAAAAAACCCTCAGAATTGTGAGTTTATATCTCGCAATTCAGACTTCATAACACGCGATTGTGAGTTAAGTGTAAGATATAAACTCGCAATTCTGAGAAAATATCAGTCTTTTTTTCCCCTCAGAATTGGACTATATTATATATAATTTATAACTCGCAATTGGGATTTATATCTCACAATTTTGATTAAAAAAAGTATAATCAAATATCAAAACAAATCAAAACCAACCAACCAAACAATGATCATCATGAAGTTTCATGAAAGTACCAGGAAATGTGACTGGAGTGATTAAAATGTTGTTTTCTGTCATCAATGCACCATCATGGCAAAGTGTTTGTACACTAACTCTTGGGTCATAGCTCCAAAAATTTATTAAAATTCAATGTGTTTAGATTGACATGACGCATGACGTTTGTTGTAGGAAACGACAGCCAGTGACGAGTGAAGCTGTTGTCTGTAGCTCTGTGAAGTGTTAGCTCCACCGTCTCACCGTCTCAGGTGTGTCAAACCCTAAGACAGCAACCAATCACTCAAGGGTCAGTTTGAAGGCAGGAAGAACTTCAGAGACAAACTGCTCCTATCCAAAGTTCTGAGGAAATAATCAAGCCTCTAAGACTGAGGGTGGTACCAAAAGAATGTAAATAGGGAGGACCCCCTGTAAAGACACAGCCCTGATTTTCTAAATTTTAATACATGTGAGTCAGATTACAGGATTGCTAGGGGAAAATAATGTGTCTGGCATCTGTTACCAAGCTGCTGAAAGTCACACGCAAAGCATGTTCCCATGCACGCCCTTGTGCTGTCAAAACACAGAACAAAGATGGACAAAAGAAAAGACACAACACAGGGTTTTGGAACAAAGCCCAGGTGTATGACTGCTGAAATGTAAATATCATAATGAGAATACTATTCATCTCTGTCCAGAACTAGCAGCTGTTCCAAAACCCAATGAGCTGTCTACATTCTAGCTGAAATGCCACCTCATAAGTGACTGATTTGCACCCTTCATAGGGCAGAAACACTGCATTATCAGATAAATAGCACAATAGTTTAATTAAAATTTAATTTTTTTGTATGTAACTTTTTTTAACAATTATTAAAAAAAGTTATTTTATTACTCTTAAACATTAACGTATTTGTTGATTATTTATAAGTATTTAAAATCAATAATAAATATTTCTCTTCCTTCATCGTCTTGAATTTACGTTTTTTACAAAGCTCGTAACAGCATTATGTTTTTTTTTTTTTTTTTATGGATTTGGCCAAAAATATATTATAGGCCTTTTGTGTACATAGAAAAAGTCTTAGATCTTTGAGTTCAGCTCATGAAAAATGGGGGCAAAAACAAAAGTGTTGCATTTATAATTTTGTTCAGTGTATATATAAAATACATATACATACATACATACAGATATTTTATATCTTATTTTATTTCTTAACAATTACATTTTATTTTTTATCATTAAACTACTTATTGATTACTTTTAGTATCAAAATATTTATTATGCTTTTTTGATTGATACATTTGGCCAAAACAAAATATCATAACAACAGCATAAATTACATTGCCTTGGCATAGGGAACACACTAATGATACCTTAAAACGCTACATACTGAGTGCGCTCACTAGGTTTTGGAACATAGCCTGAGTTCATCATGAGGAAGATGTTATAAGGAAACTTCCAAGCGACACGTTGAAGTCAGATGATTGCTTTGTTTTGCTCTTTTGGGGTTTAAAAAGGAAGTCAGATGATGGTACACTGTGCTGAGATTCTCAGCCTCAGTCATTTTTCAGAAGCTGAAGAAGTCCATTCAGCAGCTCGGCAGCGAGAGGTTATTGATTTGTGCGATCAATCCTATCAGTCAATAGTGCTGTTAATGGATTAAAAGCCTTGGCAATTAGGCTCATATGATAGATTTAAGCTTATTGATACGAGGCTCACAGTATGTGTACTGTGCATTTAAATGCTGTCAGTACATAAACATTTGATCGAGACATTAGTAAACATCTGAAAAATCTCATGCTAATGCCAAATATAGAAGTGACTGACTTTGTTAGGACCACAACCAACATTTCAAATTGTGGTGGTTTTGAAAAAAAATAAAAATAAAACCATTCAATCTAAACAATTGCGAAATCGCAAACAAATACATGCACAAGGCTTCACAAAATATCCTCAGTATGCCCAATATCAACATTTAATATAGATAGTTGACTAAAATAACTGATAATTCTGCATAAAACATTCATGTTTACATTAAAATTGATGTCATGTCAAATTGATCACAATGAAGAGATGACATAGTGAGACTAGGTAATAAAATAGCATTTCAAATAAAAATAAGTCAAAAGATAGTTACCCAACTACCTTCACCTGCTGAAGATGCAGCCAGTTTGGCTCTTTTTGTATGATGTCAATAAGGAGTTTATGATGAGATGAACATTTTGAACCATTCAAAAGTTTGGGGCTGGCAAGATTTTTGATGGTTTTTAAAGCCTCTTATACTCACCAAAGCTGCATTTATTTTGGTTAAAAATACAGTATTATTGTGAAATATTATTACAATTTAAAATAACAGTTTTCTATTTAAATATATTTTACAATGTAATTTATACCTGTGATGATGATTTGTCATTCATGAAAATTATTAACAATGTTATTATCAATGTTGAAAACAGATATCATAATTCCGACATGACATAACCATAACACAACCAGCACCCACCTTAAAGTTGTGGATCTTCTCATAATTGCAGTGTTTCTCCGGTCCGTCCTTGATTGTGGTCCGTCGGCTCAGTGGTGATGGGCTGATCTGTGAACAAGCCAAAATCTTTAGAGGCTTCCAGAGGAGGGCACCCTTACCGCCCAGATTCACCCCCAGAGCTAACGCCAACAGCTCCTGGTGCTTACGCTCCTCCTGTTTGGCTTTGTGAGGGGCTAATTCACCTTTCGCTGACCCCTTAGTGCCAACAACCTGGGCCCTGGGCCTCGGAAGAGCCTGCATCTCCTCTGTAGAGGAAGATGAGAATAATATGGAATGGGAGATAAAAGCAGGGACTGAGTCAGTCCTCCACTCCTTGGTGATCTGGGTCGACTGAGAAGGGGGACAGCCTGGTCCTGCATGGGCAGGGCTGGGGGTGGGAGGTATGGTGGGTGGGCTGCCTGGGGGCAAGAGTGTGTCTCACACAATAGCATACATTCAGCACTCTGAGAGAACGGCAATGCGAGAGAGAGGGAGAAGGAGTGATTGTGTCAGTCTTGTAGATACATCTCAGCAGGTTTCTGTAGTGGGATCAATGGAATCCAGAACACAGCGCTTCCAGACACGATTCCACCGCAGTTCCCTTGAGAGCAGATAATCCTGCAGCTCAAAGCCAAAGAGCTCATCTTTATAAGCAATAAAATCAGAGATCTGCTCTGAGAAGAGTAGGTTCTCTTTTCAGGTCTAGCACTGAGAGGTTTTATGTGGTTTTGCCTTTTAGACCTCTCTCTGTCACTAAACTTCTGATTGTAACTTCTGTTACAAATCGGATCAGGATTAAAGCAGATTTACAGTTGTAATCCTGCATCACAGGATAATCCTATAGTGCCGGAATCACTTGTTTCAGGATTCAGACTTGCTTAGACCCCATTTAAACCTGGTCATTATCTATTTCAGGTAATCTAATTAAAAGTGGATAGCAAAAAAATACAAATGTAAACAGGGCGCAAAGTGTTTTGTGATCTGGATCTCTCAAACCTACAGAGCCCCTAAAGGGACATGTTGATGGTATTATTTCCATCTTAAAAGTTTTGCAAGTGAACACAAAGTTTCTCAGGGGAATGCATACTTGTGCAGGAGAACACAAAAGCATTGAAATATAATTTTCTCTCCTATCTCATATTTTTTCCATCACCATGTCCCCTCAAGGGTCTCCATACAAACCACATTTGAAGGCACACTGAAATGAATTTGGTGTAGGATTTCCTTTGAAACAATTTTGAGTAAATTTCACAAATAATTACAAAAAATGGCAAGTAACACACTGAATTAGACTTAAAACAATTTTTTGTAGAAAGACTAAAAATATAATCCCCAATCTTCAAAAACCTCAATGGTTTTTGACAATCAAGCAAGTACGTTTAAGCCTCTGAATAAAAGACTAAACTAAATCTGTTCATCATATAAAGTGCTGGTGTCTCTTAAGAAGAATTGGATTGAACTGCTTGATTCACATTACTTTTACAATGTCTTTATGAACTTACTGGTGTGCGCCAACATTTTAGTTGCATGGACTTTTGTGTTTCAAAGATAAATGGGCTTGGAACGAAGTAAATAATGGCATAATTTTTATTTTTGGGTTAACTACAGTGTATACTTTGAATTACTGCCTACGTACTGCACCTGTATCATCCACTGTGGTAAAACAGGAGTAATAACTTTACAGGTTACATTTGTCATTACTACACTCTTAAGAATAAAGGTTCTTTATTGGCATTGATGTTTCCATGAAGAACCTTTACCATCCACTGCACAAAAGGTTCTTTAATGGAAAATGGTTCTTAAGATCATTAAGATGTTCTTCACACCATGAATATCATGTTTCTTTTAAGAAATTATATTTTATTAAGGTTTTTGGAACCTTTATTTTTTAAAGAATGTACTACACTGTTAGCGATTTCTGTAAATTACACAGTATTTAACTGTAATATGAACTGTACTTTACTGTAAAACAGTTACACAGTACGTTACTGTATTTTAAAGTTGCATTATGGGAAATATCCTCTTGCCGCCATTAAAATACAGTATTTTTCATTTACTGTAAATCCAAATACAGTAAAAAAAA